CCTCCCTCTGTTGTCTCTCTCTCTTCTCTTTTTCTCTTCTAACTTGACTGAGGGTAGATCTAGCTTAGCATCGCCATCTCAGTCTCGGTTTTGAGTAGTATTGCCGCTGTGCTAGTCTTGAGGACCATGCCTGTCTTGCTACGACTCTGAGTTTATAATTGTCCGGATGTTGTGCTAGCTTCTCCTCTCTGCTGAGTTTTTCTTATCTTTTCTATCTTTATCTAAAACTTTACGTTTCATCATGCTCTCACATGAACGTATGTTGCCCTAAGACAAGGGTAAAGGTGGGTCTCCATGACCCACTTGTCTTACAAATTAACCATAGAAGTGTTGTGCAAAAAGCAACAGGATTGCAGGTAAAGGGAGGCGATTTCGAACCAGCTAAAGCAGTTGGGGGGCTTTCTTCATGATATAAGAGGGCGCCCACGCGTGCCAACCGGAGTAAGTCCCGAACCGACCTAAAATTGGTTGGTATACTTGCCCTTGCTTTTGAGCAAGGTTCTAAGAGAGCAATCTCAAACCCCGGGTTCACTAAAAACCTGAGGTACGTGCCGCCAGATCATCTAGATCCAGAAGGCGAGATCGAGACACCAAACCAAATGGACTATAGATTTGGATGAGATTACAATATGCACTAAGGAGGTCCATTTCTAGTACATCAATAGTGAGAGGAATAGTGATGCTGACACTCTTGCTAAGTTAAGATCTTTGTAGTTTTTCTTTCCTTTTTCTCTCTTCCCCCTTGTTTTCTCTCTATCCTTCTATCTTATTTTCTTCCTACTCTCTCTCCCCCCGTGTTTCCTCTCCATCATTCTATCTTATTTTATTCCTTTTCTCTTTCTTAGCTTTTTCTTTTGCAACTTACTTTGCAATTTCTCATTCTCTCAATGAAATTAACGGTTAAAAAAAAAAAAAAAAAAAAAAAAAATTAAAAAAGAAGAAAAGAAAAAGAGATATAAGAAGAATGGCTACATCATGGATGAGGTTTAGTACAAAGGAAAAAGTTTAGGGAAAATATCTTCATATCCCTTTAGGTTTTATTTCTTGATAAACCTAAGGTTTCAAAAAGTATCTTCTAACGCCTTGGCCACTTTAAACCCATTTGTTAACCTAAACAAATATGAGAAAGACATGTTATTTCTAAACCCAATCATTTCTCTCTCTACACTTATATACCCCAAACTTATCTTTTCCTCTCTTTTCCTGTATTTCTCTCACTCTCTCTCTCCTCCCGTGTTTCTCCAAATGCCTCTCTCTCTCTCCTCGTGGTAACCTCTCACCTCCATGAAGCCCTTATTTCTCTCTAGAAGTTTAGGGTGATGGCTTTTAGAAAATACATGTCTTTTTAGATTTGTTTGGCCTAAAAAAAACATGTTTAAATTAGCTCAGGGGATTAGAAGAAATAAAATCTACAATTTTTATGCCCCAGAATATCTTTTAAAACCTCGGGTCTATTGTGAAATGAAACCTAAAAATAGGGCATATGGAGATATTTTCCCAACAGTTTATATAGAGCTGAGGCTCTAAACAATAAAATTAGAGCTCACAAAAAAAAAAATTTTCTTAGAAGAGGTTGTTTTGATGCCCAAATATCCTCAAATTGATCATCTTGACCTCAAGATGCATGGACATGAGAAAAAAATGGTTTTCAAGTTTTGGAAATAGTGCATCTTGTACGTCATTTTTGAACCGTCAACTTTAGAGATTTTCAAGTTTTCATAGATCCGCTCCATCTACACTATTTTTTAAATTTTAAATTTTATAATTAGATATGAAAATATATTTTAAGGCTATAATATATTTCCAGTATTGAAATCACATTTCTCACCGCTATTTGAAGGTGCACTTTACTTTAATTGTTTAGAGCCTCGGCTCTACACAAACCGCACCCTTAGTACAATGCATGAGAAAGAAATATACTACTTCCCTGTAAAGAACAAAGTGAGTATTATGTACAGTGCATTGCAGTCCAGCCACTTGTGCTTCTCATCTCCGGTCCCTCTCTTCTTTCTCTTCAATACTGAGAAACAGTTTGGTTCCTTAGATTCAGATTTCTAGAAGTCACTTTTCCTGATAAAGGTTAGGTCAATCGTGCTTGGTTTGCTTAAAATTGACATTTATGTTGGAATTGATATTAGTCCCAATAATGAAAATCAATATATAAATAAATAAAATTGATAAACAACGTACTCAGATCTGTCCTTAAATCATACGAGAGACTTAAGGTTCCATACCAAAACATATAGACTAAGCCATCTGGTGACAGGCTGCCTTGAAAGTCCTCTTAGTGAATCTCCCTTCACTAATTTTTCATAATTTTATATGTTCTATTAGCTTTTGCACCATTATTAAAAAATAAATTCCCTAGATAAAAGGACTTGATAGGCCATATTTCCAACAATTGAGTTTTTGTGGGATTCTTAAATGCTCATTTTAAGCCTAAATTTTGGAAATCTCAACTCCTCCAAAATAGATGGAATTAACATTTTATAGAAATGCCGATATTAAAATTTTAGAGAGTGAAACTATAAAAAAACATAGAGAGAGAAAGTACATGAAATTTTTTAAAGAGAAAAATACATGAATTTTTTAAAGCGAGAAACTATCTCAAATTTTTGTAGAAAGTAACTATCTCAAACTTAAAGTTTTAGAGAGCATCTTAAAATTTCAAAAAGAAAAACTGTCTCAAATCTTAAGTTTTAGAGAGAGAAAGTATTTTAAAATTTTAGAGAGAGAAACTACATTAAAATTTAGAGAGTGGAACTAAAAATTTTTTAGAGAGAAATATTTCAAATCTTTTAGAGAGAAAAACTATCTCAAATTTTAAGTTTTAGAAAGAGCTTATTAAAATTTTAGAGATACAAACAACATCAACTTCTAGATAGATAAACTGTCTAAAAAATTTTAGAGAGAGAAACTATATCAAATTTTAAGTTTTAAAGAGAGAAAATATCATAAAACTTTAGAGAGAGAAGCTATATCGAATTTAAGATTGAAAAATTACATAATTTTTTAGAGAGAAACTATTTCAAAATTTTTAAATAGAGAAACTATCTCAAATTTTAAGTTCTAGAGAGAGAAAGTATATTAAAATCTTAAAGAGAAACTATCTGAAAATTTTAGAGAGAAACTATATCAAAATTTAACTTTAGAGAGAGAAAGTATTTTAAAATTTTATAGAAAGTAACTATATTAGATTTTAGAGTGAGAATGTACCTCAAATTTCTTAGAGGAAAACTATATCAAATTTTAAGTTTTAGATAGAGAAAGTACTTTAAAATTTTAGAGAGAGAAACTATATCATATTTTAGAGAGAGAAACTAACTCAAATTTCTTAGAGAGAGAAACTATCTCAAATTTTTATGGAGAGAAACTATATCAAAGTATAAGTTTTAGAGAGAGAAAGTATCTCAAAATTTTAAAGACAGAAACTATGTCAAACTTGAGAGTTAGAGAGGGAGTATCTAAAATTTTTAGAGAAAGTATCTAAAATTTACATTTTCAAGAAAAAGATATTCCAGGGAATCCAAACAATGAATTTGCATTTCCTAGTTTCTACCACATGCAATCCAAACAATATACACCATATTCTAAGAAATGCCAATTTCAGTAAATATCAATTTCAGGATAGGCTTTTCCATAGGATTGAAAAATATAGGGAGCTAAACGGGTGAAAATTGAAAAAAGTAGGGGTAGCAATGGATCCGGATCCGCCTGGGTATACCAAACATAGGTCCGATAATGGGCTCAACATTTCGACTCGGTAGGTCGGGTCTGGCTTCAAAACCTAGGCCCGAACATCATTTGGGTCTAGGTCCGGTTAGATCCGACCCATACCTGTAAACAATTGGAGATAGAATACTTCAAGCCCTATTCGTTTAGGTGCATTAAAGATAATATACATTAAGAACTCGTAGTCATCTTTAACTGGTAAACGACAAATCAGACGGCTTGAAATCAATGATAGGTGATTATGACTTTATTGCCAATAAAATGAGTATATGATGTTAAAACAAAGGGAAAAAATAAAATAAAAAAGAAGCTCATAGTAACGGTGGCAATAGACCCGATCAGACCCGGACTCGACGGGATAGACCCGGGACCCGATGGGAACGGGTATGAGTCCAACTTTTGGACCCGATAGATTGCGTCTGGATCCAAAACCTGAACTCAGATACTATTCGGATCTTGCTCCAGATCCAACTAGACCCGACCTGTTGCCACCCCAAGTGAAAAGAGAGAGAAAGAACAAGCTAAATGCTTTCCTTTTCAAAAATATATATAAAAAGAGAGTAGGCTTTCTTTTAGAGAGAGAGAGGAGGTAAAGGACAGAGGCCCAATAGCCTTTCTTTTAGAGAGAGAGAGGGGAGAGGGAAAGGGCAGGGAAAGGGAGTGCCCTTTCCCTGATCACCACAATCACTCACACTTATGCACCACTCAAAAATCAGTTAGGCACAAAAAATTACATTTTGAGAGAGAGAAGAGAAGAGATAGGAGAGACCCTTCCTTAGACATGTTTACGGGGAAAGTTGTGAAAGGAGAGTATATAGTCTATGAAGTTAATATGAAAGATGTATGTTGTAATCTTTATATATATCTACCCTTCTCCATGATATATAGATTCCAACATACGCCTTCCATATTAGCCAAATAGATAATATATACTTTAGTGTGAAAGTAACATGGAGGCTGACAAAATGGGATGGTCTTGAGAATAATTTAATTGTCGAAAGATGCGAGGATTTAACTGTTGTAGGTTGTTAGTTTTGGCGTAATTGTTCTGTCTCTATGTTGTAACTTTGTGCCCAGGTTTCTGTTGAAAACTTGGTATTTAATGAATATATAAAAGTGACTATTTCTCGTAAAATAAAGAGAGACCCTTCCATCGAGGCGATAACAAATGCACAAAGTCAACTCCTTCCCTTCTCAAAACTAGTAAAGACTGTCCAAGCCATAAGACGTGCACAACTCCTTCCCTTCTCAAAACCAGGAGAAAGAGAGAGAGTCCGTTGATCAGGATGAGCGGCAAAGAAACATTTCCGGTGAGGAGCATCCCAGGCAGCTACGGGCTGCCAGTGATCGGGAACCTCATGGACCGGCTCGACTACTTCAGGCTTGAGGGTCCCGATAAATTCTTCCGAAATCGCATGGCCAAGTATCAGAGCACAGTATTCAGGGCCAACGTGCCTGCTTCCGCTCCCCTCTTTGGGGGAAGTGATCCAAAAGTCATAGCGATCGTCGACTCCGCCGCCTTCACCACTCTCTTTGATGTCTCTCTGGTTGAAAAGAAAGATGTTTTGGTGGGAGACTATCTCCCGAGCCTCAACTACACCGGAGGTATGCGTGTTCTCGCGTATCTCGATCCGTCAGAGCCGCAGCATTCCTCCATCAAGTCATTCCTCATGCACAACCTGCGTAGAAGCTCAAAGGTGAGCTTGGCATTAGCTTTCTGGTTTAGAACTGGTTTTTCGGTTTTTCTATGGTTTTTCCCGTGTCTACTCTGGCTTGGGCCCTTGCCGAGCCTTGTCTATAGGTCCAACTCGGGGGTCTTAAAAAATTAAAACAATTATAAAAAATTTAAAAAATAAGAAATATATTTGTAACATGTTTATTTATTTTCTCTATCATTTTGGCAAGTGTAAACCTTCCAAACACCCATAACTATAATGAATAGTAATACATGTGGAATCTCAGCCATCAGATCTTCATTGAGTGATTTAAAGTATATTTAACTATTTTAATTTTAATAATTTTTCTATAAATCAGATTAAGATGAAATTTTGGACGTATATACTTAACACTATTGCACACCATATAAAAAAATACTTCCAAGAATTTAAAATGAGCAAATTTCCCAAGTCATTTTTCAAGGGTATTTCAATCATTTTATATTTTTGAAAATATTTTTTTATATTTTTTATTGTGTGCCCATTTTTTAGTACACACGTCTAAAATTTCAATATGATCTGATTTCTAGAAAAAGATTAAAAGTCATATAATCATATGTATTTTGCGCCACTCGATGCCTATATTATTATTCATTATAGCTGCCAAGTATATGGTAGCTTTTTCATTTTAACAAAGATGGGAAAGTATTTTGGCCATAAACACTTGTTTTGTATTTTTTCATATTTTTGAAAACTTTAAAAAATACCCCCAAATCACAAACTCATTTAATAAAATCTATTTTTTTTGCTACTTTTTTAATTGCATTTAGTTGCGTTTTGTTAAATTTCACATTGAATATATTTTTCCAATTTTTTGAGATTCTTTCGTATTTTTTATTTTTTAATACTTTTGCTACTAGGGAAGAAAATTTACATGGTTTGGATCCGAAACCCAAATTTTGGATCCTGGTATGGATTTAAGATTTAGATCTAGATCCAAAATTTTGATCTTAATAAGAGTTTAGATCGGATTTGGGTACAGGTGGATCCGATTTGGATATGACCCAGTTATTGAAATATCATATATTATTTTATAGGGAAGGGTTTCTATACTCCCCCTAATGTATAGAATTTCTATACTTCCTCCCATCCAGCCGTCCAATGTAGATCAAATAAGCCACTAATCGTTTGATCTCGATCTGATGCCTGAAAGTATTTTATTTATAATTTTTATTCTACAAATTATATGAATATGAAATTTTGTGTGTTCCATAATCTCAATAAGGAGCACCTAAAATAATATAAAAAATATTTTCAATAACATAAAATGACCAAAATACTCCTGACACTTTCAAGTGTATTTTGGTCGCCTTATTTTATCGAGAATATTTGTTTTATACTTTTTTCATATGCAAATTTAAGATAGGAGTGGATGCTCAAAAATTGGGGTCGAATTGTATTGTAAAACACAAATAAAAATAAACCAGTGTAGAGGCATGACCTTGTAAGTGGATCCATCTCAACTATTTATTCAGATTAGATCGTTAGATAAGGGGAAGTATATAACTTCTATACATTAAAGAAAGCATTGAAAGCTTTCCCTATTTTATATATACATATATGTTATATAGTAATTTTTGGTTATGTATTATTTTATTGATATAAAATAATGTACAAATAATTCTTTTGGATCCAATAGGGTATGGATTCGGATCCAAATCCCATGTAAACTTTTCAGATTCGGATACAGATACCTTGTCTACTTTTTAAATCGTAATCCAGATCCCAATGGATCAAGACCTGATCCAACCCTTTCTCAACCCTAGATGCTATAGTACTCAGCCCTTACTCGGACTTGGGAAAGTACTCGGTTGAGGCATGGGCCAAGTGGACTTTTCGAACATTGTTTTTCCCATGGCACTAATGGCGTTAGGATTTGTTTAGTTTTGGAATTGACGTATTTCTAAGATGTATTTCTAAGCTCTGATCAGTGTTCAAAAACTCATCAAGGCCAAATTGGACTCGACAACCTTCCGAATACTGTAGCAACTTGGATAAGTTCCTTGAGACTCAACGAGTTATGTGGACTTGCATTCATCCTAAAAAACTCGACTATTTATAAGACTTTGTTTTTTAACTAGGTTCGGGGTTTGCAAGAAGTTGTTTTTTGTTTTGGTAATTCAGGGGGGAAGATAGGCCCCTACCCATTTTTTGAAGTAGATTAGGAGTTGGATTTTTTTGAAAGTGTTAGTGGGGTGGTGTTAATGGTAGGAATGGAAATCACAATGTGGTGACTAGGTGTGGGGATGCTACCACCACGACCCCATCCCCATTCCTTCAAGTTTTCTTTTTCTATTTTCACAATCCTAGGTTGATCCACCTTGAAAATCTATCCCTGAACGTTTGTTTAGTATCTAGTGTTCTAAGACTTGTCCTCAGACTAGGAGACTACCCAAAGTGAGTTCACTTGGTTGAGTCTTGTGTGGACCAGCCAAATCCACTAAAAAGGACTCCCAAAATTGCAAGAAATGCAAAACTGAAGAAAAATAAAAACTTGAAAATTTTTAAAGTATGAAAAATTATAAAACAATTAAGAGAATTGAATACAAAAAGGAATTTTGCATACTTAGGTGCACTAGCCATTTGCAGCGCAAACTCAGTACAACACTAATTCGAATGTGCAAGTTAGTTCAAGAGGAAGGCTAAAAAAAGATAAGCTGTAGGCTCAAAAGGATATGGTTTGAAGTAATGTAAAAATAGATATGGACATATAGCCTTACTGAGGGTATAGACCTTGATAGAGCATAACGTTGTATTAGAATTCGTGTAGCCGACCCCAATTAGTTGAAAAATGGCTTTGATGATTACGAATAAATAAAGGCATTTTGGATTCTAAGTTGGATCCAGTTAATCCAAGCTCTTGAAATTGTTGGTGACACCCTATTTCGATGTTTAAAACCTTACAAATCCTTGATATAAGTGCTTCTTCTTGACCTTAGATTGATAGCACAAAAATAGGAGTAGGGTAAAATTTTCAAGGTGGATCGAACTAGGGTTGCAGAAATCTCAAAACAAAAAAAACTTCCACCAAACCACAGCTCAAAAAAAAGGGAATATGAGATTTACAATTTTTTCCCTAAATCTATTGTTTGAAATCAATAGAGGACGGAAAATACGCCCAGGAGTGAAGTTTCACAAATATCCGAGAGCAAATGAAAAAGCAAAATGGAAGAAAGTGGCCAGATTTCATTGCTCGCCTTCTCTCCATTTACATAATAAGGGAAAAATTATCAAAGTACACTTAACATATCAACTATTTAACATTTTACCCTTTTGCAACTACTCCAAGTCATGACCATATTTTTTTTTTTTATAGGTATTGTGAAATTAAATAAAAAAAAAAGAGTATAATGTTAAACGGTTCATCTCTTATGCGTATTTTAATAAATTTTGCACTTATTCATAATATGGACCCATCAAGTTTCTATGGATTAGCTAGAGTCCGCAGCCTGTTTCTCAAGTGCTAACTCGAGGTATCAGAATAACACATTTAACTCTGATGAGTGTAGTATGGGTCCCCAACTCGTTGGAGGCTTTGTAAATATTAGCGTATGGATATCTTGTTAGTATTGATATATATCATTATGAATGCATATCAGTATGGATATGTATCTGTATGGGTATATATCTCTTAATTAGGTGTCTCTTGATTATGATCAGATTAGTTAGTAATTATTCATAACTGTTGGTATTTATCTTTAATTGTTAAAGGCCGTATATTTATACGGGGCCTTGTATATTCTTAATTAATAAATAAAAAGAGAGTTATCTACAGTATTATGAATTTCTAACATGGTATCAAAGCCATAGGCTGCTCAACCTCAGATCTGAGCTTGCCGGATTTGAGTTCGGCTTCAGATTCGTCCCGACTCTTTGTCAAACAGCTGCATCCTCTCTGATATTGTCATTCAGACCTTGCTGCCATTTCCTTAAATTCGTGCTTCTTTGTGTTCTATGTTTCTCGTGTGTTTCTTTCGTGGGTCCCAAGGTAACCCAATCCTTGATCTCTCTCCAATGGATGAAGGTTCTTCTGTGTTTGGGAAGAAGTTTGAAAGCACGTGCACAATGTGATGGCTTTATATTCATTAAATCAACCTTTTGAGGGCTTTGCCTGCTTTCCCATCAGAAAGCTTTTCAAGGTTGCATTTTCCTTTGATTTATTGAGGAATTAGAGAGAAATAATTTTATTATGAGTTTCTTGTGACCACAACTTCTTTCTTGAAATAATACCCTGGGAGTTGTGGATCGGCATGTATTTTTTCTTGGCAAAACACACTTTGCCATTTTATCTCTCTAAGCAAAAACTTCAGCTCTCCCCTTTGTCCATAAACTTCAGCTCTTCTCTTTGTCTATGGTTAAATCAATCAATATTCTCAGTTTAGTGAGAGAAACTCATAGACCAAGGAAGCACTGCCAAATGCCTTCGAGTCGTGTTTCGACTCTCTTTCGAGTCTGTTTCGACTCTCTGCTGAGTTTGTTTCGACTATCTGACGAGTAAGTTTCGACTTTTTGCCAAGTCTGTTTTGACTCTGTGCCGAGTCGTGTTTTGACTCTCTGCAAAACAACCTTTATCTCTGTTCTGGCTTGTGTTCTTGGACTACAAGTTGCTAAATCTATCTCGGATCCACACCGAGTTCTGTTAGCTCTTCCAAGTGTCATTCTGTGCTTGTTGCTCAAGCAATCTATGCATGTGAAGACTTAAGGATCTAACTAGTTCGTTTATGAAACTAATTGTCAAACTCCAGCTGCTTTATGTAAATGTATCTTGAGTTTGAGAGGGAATGTTAACGTATTGATATCTTGTTAGTATTGATATATATCATTATGAATACATATCAGTATGGATATCTATCTGTATGGGTATATATCTCTTAATTACATGTCTATTGATTATGATAAGATTAGTTAGTAATTATCCTTAACTGTTGGTATTTATCTTTAATTGTTACTGGCCATATATTTATACGGGGTCTGGGATATTCTTAATTAATAAATAAAGAGAGAGTTCTCTGCAGTATTCTGAGTTTCTAACAGTAAACTTAATAGGATGGAAAGTCTGAATAACTCGGTTTATTATGAGTTAGACTAAGTGTGTTTGTTAACATTGGTGTCATTTATCGAATCCAATGCTTGTGTCCTATTAAGAAAAGGCAATCAAAATATCAAATTTGCGATATTTTGAACATCAAAGTAAGATTTAACCGAAAGTTTCAAGAGACTTTAAATAGCCAGTACATTTACTCACTTTTCTAGTTTCAAGGTTCCATTGGCATCTTGAATTGTTATGTTTCACTTTATCTTATTCTCCTATGTCTTCTTTGGTGGTTTATTGCTTGGTTTTCTTCCCTTTGATTGGTTCTATGGATCAAAATGTACCGTGTATGAGCTTTCAAACACTTGGTGGCTGTGGTTATACAATTCCATGGCACCTATGTAATTCCATTGCTCCAATTTTAATTTAGTTATTGAGAACCATTATCTTTTCCAATGCGATCAAAGTTTATGTGACTCTTTATTTTTAATTATTTTTGAAGACATGGGTACCAGAACTCCAGAGTAGCTTGGAGCCCTTATGGAGCACACTAGAGAAGGATGTAGAGGATAAGGGCAAAGTTAAGGTGCTGCTCCCCTTGCAAAAGTTCCTCTTCTCCTTCCTTTCCAAGGTACTGCTGGGGGCTGACCCCGCTGTAGATCCTGAGATCGCCAAGAATGGCCACTGCATAATCGATAAGTGGCTCGCCTCCATGCTCGTTCCGACATTGGGCACTGGAGGCGTGATCCCTTACCCTTTCGAAGAGCTATTGCTCCACAGTTTCCCTTTTCCCTTTGCCCTTGTTCGAGGTGACTATGAGAAGCTCCATGGGTTCATTCTCAACCATGCGAAGGAGGTGTTATCAATCGGCATTAACGAATATGGCCTCACGGAGGCCCACGCTGCACACAATCTTCTGTATGCTCTCGGATTCAATGCATTTGGTGGCTTCTCGATCTTCCTTCCGTCGTTGATTTCGTACATTGGAAAGGACCCTGGACTGCAAGAGAGGTTATGCTCAGAGGTACGGGATGTAATGAACGCACATGAGGGAATGAGCTTCAATGCAGTGTCAGAGATGGAATTGTTAAGCTCGACAGTCTACGAGGCCCTGCGTATGAATCCGCCTGTGCCATTCCAGTATGGGCGGGCACGGCGTGACTTTAATTTGAAGTCGCACGACTGTGCTTACAGGGTACAAGCGGGGGAGCTGCTGTGTGGGTTCCAGCCTCTCGCCATGCGAGACCCCAGGGTTTTCGAGGCGCCAGAGGAGTTTAGGGCCGACAGGTTCACCAAAGAGCGAGGGGGTGAGGCCCTAATTCAATACGTCTATTGGTCGAATGGTCCTCAAACTGCGACACCCTCGGTGGAGAACAAGCAGTGTGCGGGCAAGGACTATGTCGTGGCCACTACACGCCTCATTTTGGCCGACCTCTTCATGCGATACGACTCTTTCCAACTCGACAAGGACTCATCATCTACCATAACTTCTCTAAAGAGAAGATCTTGAGACCACTTTGGTGGCATTCACTTGTTGCTTTTTTTAATGTTCACTTGGGACTTTGTAGGAATGGAATTCTGAAGGTAATGGAGTGGCACCCGTCACTCTAACCACCTATGCCTACAGCTCGTTCCTACTATGCGATTTGAATAAATATTTTTTTTTTGTTTCGTCTTTTTTTTACTTGATTAGTTGGATTGGCTCGCAGTCTGAATAATGATGATGATAATCATCACAACCTTTTTTTTTTTTTTTCAACTATTTGGAGTGGATTACCTTAATGTAATTAATGTAACAACAAATAATGCCGTTTTAGTTGTTTGGTTGGTCATCAAGCTTTGCTTGCTCATTCAAAAGAGCATTTCATTACTGCTCTTTGTATCTTAAAGTTTTTTTTTTCCCCCTTAGTTTTTCCCCATTGGTGGAGCTCTTTCTTTACTTCTCTCTTTATTTGGTATGATGGGTATCAAATACCGCTTGGGTTTTTCCAAATGGAAGTAGCACGTGACTCACGATGTCTTGTCTTGAGCCTTCAACAAACTACACTTCTTGTCTTGACTCTTCAATAAAGACAATTTACTTTAGGGGTTGTGACATCTTATAAATACATCATTTATGTTTTATACACGGCGGTCATAATTATTTCCACTCATTAAATGCCAATTTGGATATCTTGGGGTGAGTTACTAAGTGCGAAAAAATGTTATTTAGAACTTTGTGTTTATTCAATGACATTATCGCAACTACACAATTTGAAATTTAATAGACAAAAATGATTGTGACTTCCTTGTAAAAAATAAATAATCACTTTATAGACAATCTCATATATTAAATATTTTATATATTATAATGTTAACAACAATTTGTAATGAATATAATTTCGTTAAATTATCACCAATAGTTATCCATCACCATCCAACTTAATAAATTTATCTTTTATATTAATTTTCAATTCATTGCAATTGCTCCCCATTTGACTTATTTGGAATGCGTGTTATCATTGGGAGTGTTTTTAATAGAAAAGCTTTACAATATCACGATGAATTAGATAGATATTATCATAGTTATTATAGACCATACACCTTATGGAGATGGAATAAAGATAAAAACTAATTAACGAAGATAAGGGTGTCACTAATATAATTATCAAGACTAGACCAAATTGGTAGTGGTCAAATTGGTGGTGGTCGGTTTGCCAACTGGTACTTTGGCTGGTTTGGTTCAAGGTACAAACAGATTTTATCGAAAACCAATTAAAACCAACATTTGATTAGTTTTGGCCAGTTGGACATATCTGTCTAATGGGGTTGACTAGCTGAATGAAGTTGGGCAAATTCATTTAACAAATTTTATAATTGAGTTATGTTAGGGTGCTCACACTACATTCTATTTAATAATTGTACAACAAATTTTGGACATTTATATATCTTGGTTTTGTACATGAAGTATTTTTTTAGTAGCGATAGTCATTATGAAGGGTATGACATCACCTACATGGAGCATACTAGTGGTATTTAATGCTTTATGTGGATGATGTCACACCCTATGTGGGTTATGTCATACACTTCATAATGATCGAAAATTGTTTTTACTAAAGAAATATTGTATAATAAAACAATGGTACATAAATGCTTAAAATTTATTGAATACAATTCTAAAATGCTCTATAGTGTGAGCATCCTAACCTACCTTTTATAATTTTAAACTAGTATATCTAATTTTCCTTTCCTTCTTTCTAAAATCCGATTCAACAAGTTTGAGCAGTAGTTGGCCCAATTTTGACTATATTAAACTCCCTATCGGTTCAGTGACCGGTCCAGTCCTAGTAACACTAGTCACTATGATAAAGAGAGATGGTTTTGCCATTTCCAAAATTTAGATTTTCCTACTATTTCTATTATTTTACATGCAAATCAATACAGATGTTGGCACTATAAAGGCTTATCCCTATTGTCTATCCTTGAGAAAAGTGATGCACCCACTTGCTAACTTGGTAGACTTCTCAATAATCAAAACTGGCGAAGCACCCTCACTCAAGGAGGATCAATATCTTCATATCTCTATTGAAAATAATTTTTTAAGTCATAGGTCTAATCATTAGGAGAACTCAAGCTGGTGGACTGCCACAACATGATATCCTGAGTTCCAATTCTACCATGAGTAAAGAATCTTTTTCTATTTATTGACTAAAAAATGAGAAAATAATAACAACTAAATCACTCCATTCTTAGAAAGACAAGAAATATATGAGAAGTACGAGCTTGTAGTGTGCAGCCCATGCATTGCACAGTCCAAGGGAGACAACGAAAGAGGAAGGCTAGATATTTATTATGGATTCTTTTTTTTTTTTTTTTTTTACAAGGTTAAAAGCTTTCATTGCTGAATAAAATCCTCACAATAAATTATACAATTAAGGAACTATCTGAAATAACTAAAGAAGAGAATCGTACCCTATGTCTCGCCAATATATTTGCAGTCGAGTTGCCTTCTCTAAAGATATGTCGAATTCAACATTAAGGTCCAAACGCCATTCCATAATTTGTCTCCACCAGTACTTGAGCTTCCAAACTATTCTATGTTCCTTTCTACAGCCTTCAGCTATAATAAGATCGGCAATACCCCGGTCTCTGCAAAGAGAAAGCCCATCCCGCAACGCATATAACTTAGCATGATTTGCTTCGACAGAACTGCACAGACCTTCATAACTGAAGATAATCCTATGGCAAGTATCCCACAACACACCACCAAATCCAGCAGCCCTAGATTACCCAACGAAATACCATTAAAATTTAATTTAACATATCCTAAGGGTGGAGGGAGCCACCTACCTATACATCAAGCCTTGTGGATGTGTCGATGGATCATGCTAATCAGAGTACCCTCAAAATTCACAAAGGAAATTCCCCATCCTTCTTTAGTTATAGAAAACTATTTCCAAAGAGTCATAAAGATTTTATTCTTCAGGTCCTCCATCTCCAAACACTCACTATTAAAAGTTCTCCTATTCCTCTCCTTCCGTAACTCCCGTAAAATTCGTGCTTTGAAAATTTTCCATCTAACCCTACCAAAACTAAGTAAGCATGGAATCCTGAAAATAACACATAATATCCATAAGCCTACTCGGGATCACCAACAAGTAACCCATTTTCAGTTGCGCCCACATCCATGTTTGAAAAGCAAAAGGACAATGCAAAAATAGGTGATACTCCTATCTCCTCATCCCGTTTATAGAATAGGCACACATGGACAACAATTTTCCTCTTTTCCTCAGGTTATCCATTGTAAGCATCTTACCCTGCATAGCAAACCAAAGGAATGTCTACACTTTATGCAGAATTTCCATTTCCAAACCTCTTTGAAACAACCTTCCTGGTATCTCAGTTAATCATGGAAAAGTTAGTTGTACATGGATCTTACTATGAACACCCCATCATTCTCATAATCCCAAACAACCTCATCTTCCACTCAAACTGATAGCTTAACCTCCTCTAGCTCATGTAACATATTAGTCACTTGATTATATACAATATCTTGCATTCTACTATATATATATATACAATCAATCCGCGACACTAACCTATTAGGAAAATCAGTGTTTAAAAAAACGCCGAGTCACCGAACTCGTCCGGTTCGATTCGGGAATCGACCATAGACGGCTCGAACCGCTAAAAAAATCGGGAATCGTCCGGTTCTAGAGAGAACCGGACGATTCTGCACAGTGACTCGCCGATTCACTATACGGAATCGGTGAGTCCCGTGAAGAACACGGGTTGCATTGTGATCTTCACGGGATTCTTCAAAATTTGTCATTTCTTTTATCATTTTTCTTGTTTTTTTTGGCATGTGATCTAATTTGCAAGCTTTAAACAGCTTTACTCAGCTTTTACATGGATTAAATGGTTGAGAAATTTTGCGTTTTTGGATCACGAAACTTGCAATTTTAGGGTTTCCTCCTTTTCTTGTGTTTCATGCCAAATAAGGCATGAATCTTTCAAAATTTGTAGGCATTTTGATCGTAAAGTTGTTCATCAAAACCTTCTGTTACTAATTTATGATAATCGTTGAGAAAAACAGAGTTATTTGGAGATTGAAGGCTCCAGTTCACAAAACCAGGTAAGAAGTTTGGTTTTTTTTTTTTTCCGCCATATGATTAATTTCACTGCTTATTTTGAAGATAATGAGTTCAATTTGTAGGGTTTTTAATCTTTATTGTGTCTATTATGATTTAACATATTCAATTTTATGTAATTTGGCCAATTACAACATGAATTTTTAGATGAACACAGAGATGTCCGTGGAACCAAATTTCTGCTGTTTTTTTTTTTTTTTCCGCCTTTTGATTTTTTGTTCATGATATATTAGAAATAATGTGTTAGATTTATAGCATTTTTAATCGTTATAGTGTTGTTTATAATTAGATGTATTCAATTTGATCTGATTTATTCAATTTGAGCTTCATTTTTTAGATTCAATGATTATTTGTGAAGAAAAGAATTGCGTTTTTTTTTTTTGCTCAATTTAATCAATTTGATTTGATTTATTGATGATAATGTGTTTAAAATTTAGGGTTTTGATTCCTTATATTGTTGTTTATAAGAAAATGTACTCAATTGGATGTAATTTATTCGCTTAGAGGTGGATTTTTGAGTTAAAATGGCTTATATAAGATGGCTCTGTGAAGAACATTAATTTTTTTTTTTTTTTGTTTTCTTTTTTTTGTAATCCATGATCGAATATTTGTAATACTTGATCGATATTTTTGTAATCCATGATCGAATTGTTTTTTTTTTATAATCTATGATCAAATTTTTTGTTTTTTTTTTGTTTTTGTAACCCATGATAGAATTTTTTGTAATCCATGATCGATTTTTTGTAATCCATGATCGAAATGTTTGTTTTTTTTCTTGTAATCCATGATCGAATTTTTTATTTTTTATTTTTGTTTTTGTAACCCATGATAGAATTTTTTGTAATCCATGATCGAATGTTTTGTAATCCATGATCTAAATGTTTTTTTTTTTTGTAATCCATGATCCAAATGTTTGTTTCTTTTTTTGTAATCCATGATCGAATTTTTTGGTTTTTGTTTTTTTGTAACTCATGATAGAGTTTTTTGTAATCCATGATTGAATTTTTTGTAATCCACGATAGAATTGTTTTTTCTTTTTTGTAATCCATGATCGAATTTTTGTTTTTTGTAATCCATGATCGATTTTTATGTAATCCATGATCGAATTTTTTGTAAT